TTCAATCCCCAGCATCTCCAGTTAAAAGGATCAGGCAGGAGGTGATGTGGAAGACCTCCGCCTGAGACCCTGGAGAGCCATGGAGAGGGGCTGTGGCTCAGTGGAAGAGCCTCTGCTTGGCACGCAGAAGGTCCCAGGTTCGATCCCCGGCATCTCCAGTTAAAAGGACCAGGCAGGAGGTGATGTGGAAGACCTCAGTGGCAGAGCCCCTGCTTGATATGCAGAAGGTCCCAGGTTCAATCCCCGGCATCTCCACTTAAAAGGATCAGGTGGGAGGTGATGGGAAAGACCTCCACCTGAGACCCTGGAGAGCCGTGGAGAGGGGTTGGGGCTCAGTGGAAGAGCCTCTGCTTGGCACACAGAAGGTCCCAGGTTCGATCCCCGGCATCTCCAGTTAAAAGGATCAGGCAGGAGGTGATGTGGAAGACCTCGGCCGGAGACCCTGGAGAGCCGCTGCCAGGCTGAGTGGACAATACTGACCTTGGTGGACCGAGGGTCTGATTCAGTATTAAGTCAGCTTCCTGTCTTCACGTGAAGAGGCGAGGAATGACTGAGAGAGAATCCTCTGCTCTTTCACCAAACTGCCATTGCAAGGATTTCCATAGAGAAGCCGTAACAGTTAGACTAGTTCCACCCTGTGGCGTTTCAGCATTGCAGACTCACCTGTGACCGAGCGCAATTTCCTTTTAAAGATCCAAGGGGAATCGAAAGCCTCCAAGACTGGGAAGAACGTCAAGTACAAGGGCGTCTTCGGCACCATCGCCACCATGGTGAGGATGGAGGGTCCCACGAGCCTCTACAACGGGCTGGTGGCCGGGCTCCAGCGCCAGATGAGCTTTGCATCCATCCGCATCGGGCTCTACGACTCCGTGAAGCAGCTCTACACCCCCAAGGGATCGGACAGTAAGTCCGCCGCCGCCAGCAGATGTGTCAGAGCAGATTTGGATGCGATCAGTGTCCCCTCTAAGCTGAGTGAGTGTGAGCCAGCTCACCATTTTTTAAGCCTCTGGGCTCACACGTTTTTGTCTCAGCTCAGGAAGGACGGCTCCGGAGCAGGGTTCCCTCTAAGCTGAGGTTAGTGTGAGCCAGCTCACAGTCGTTTAGCCTCCGGCTCCCACATTTTCGTCTCAGCTCAGGAAGGACGGCTCCGGAGCAAACTGATTTATGCAGCAGCCAAATTGCTCGCTTCACAGCTTTAATGCCAGTAGATCGCAAAGTAGAATTTTTTGCTCACAGCTTAGAGCAGGGGTGTCGAACTCATTTGTTATGAGGGCCGGATCTGACATGTGTATCACAAAATGTAACGCCAGGTAGCGGAGAGATAAACTTTATAAAGGACACAAACACAAAGGGGTTTTTAAAAATTTTTAAATAAAAACATGCTTAAAACATGAGCACTCTTGCGATATTTTGTTTAACAGTGTCTGATAACTGACACCTCTTGCTCTGAATTATTGCATCAAAATGTCTGTGCTGTTGCAATCTCGAGTATGCTGTTCAAGTGTGTATCTCTTAAGCTGCAAACCTACAGTGATGCAGCAACAGCAAAACTGGAAGAAGAAGCAGAAGACAGCCAGTTCCACTGTGGGATAGAAGCCCTCCGGGGGCCTGATCCAGTTCCCAGGCCGCATGTTTGACACCCCTGGCTTAGAGGGAACATTGGATGTGATGGCACACCCGCTATTAAGAACATAAGACCATAAGAGTAGTCAGTGTTGGATCAGGCCAGTGGCCCATCCAGCCCAACACTCTGTGTCACACTGTGGCCAAAAATACCAGGTGCCCTCAGGAGGTCCAGCAGTGGGGCCAGGACACTAGAAGCCCTCCCACTCTTGCTCCCCCCAAGCACCAAGAATACAGAGCATCCCTTGCCCCAGACCGAGAGTTCCTATCTATACCTTGTGGCTAAGAGCCCCTGACAGACCTCTGCTCCATATAAGAACATAAGAGAAGCCAATGTTGGATCAGGCCAGTGGCCCATCCAGTCCAACACTCTGGGTCACACAGGGGCCAGAAATACCAGGGGCCACCAGGAGGTCCAGCAGTGGGGCCAGGACACTAGAAGCCCTCCCACTGCTGTCCCCCCACCCAAGCACCAAGAATACAGAGCATCCCTTGCCCCAGACTGAGAATTCCTAGCTATACCTTGTGGTTAAGAGCCCATGATGGACCTCTGCTCCATATAAGAACATGAGAGGAGCCAATGTTGGATCAGGCCAGTGGCCCATCCAGTCCAACACGCTGTGTCACACAGTGGCCAAAAACACCAGGTGCCATCAGGAGGTCCACCAGTGGGGCCAGGACACTAGAAGCCCTCCCACTGTTGACCCCCCCCCCAAGCACCAAGAAGACAGAGCATCCCTTGCCCCGGACCGAGAGTTCCTATCTATACCTTGTGGCTAAGAGCCCATGATGGACCTCTGCTCCGTATAAGAACATAAGAGAAGCCAATGTTGGATCAGGCTAATAGCCCCTCCAGCCCAACACTCTGTGTCACACAGTGGCCAAAAACACCAGGTGCCATCAGGAGGTCCAGCAGTGGGGCCAGGACACCAGAAGCCCTTCCACTGTAGCCCTCTCCCCAAGCACCAAGAATACAGAGCATCACCTGCCCCAGCCTGTGAGTTCCTATCTATCCCTTGTGGCTAATAGCCACTGATGGGCCTCTGCTCCAGATGTTTATCCAATTCCCTCTTGAAGCCGTCCATGCTTGTAGCCGCCGCCACCTCCTGTGGCAGTGAATCCCACGTGTTCATGACTGTTTGGGTGAAGAAGGACTCCCTTTTTATCCGTTCTAACCCGACCACTCAGCCATTTCATGGAGTGCCCACGAGTTTTCAGAGGGTTATGTACGCAGCCGTCGCCTAGCTGCATATTCAGCCAGAGCGGTGTGGAGGTCGGAATGCGACTGAGGAGACCCGAGATCGAATCCTTCCTCAGACATGATTTCTCACTGGGTGACCTTGGACCAATTGCCCTCTCTCTAAATAAAGGGGTCGGTCAGACTCACATTGGGGGGGGGATGCATTCACAAATATGCCTCCCTTGAAGGTAAAATTAGACACACACCCCTCAACCTGAACATTACATTAAAATACATGGCTGTCACCTAGCGTTGCCAACCTCCTGGTGGCACCTGGAGCCCTCTTAGAATGTCAGTCTCCGGACTACAGAGATCAGTCCCCCTGGAGAAAATGGCTGTTTTGGAAAGTGGACTCTATGGCACTGTACCCCCCTCAGGTCCCTCCCCGTCCCAAACCCAACCCTCCTCAGTGTCAGCAAGCTGCCAAAGGTTGTTGTCTGTATGTGCATTATGGATTGAACACCCCCCCTCCGTTTCCCCTCTGTAGTTAACCTCTTATGCGCATGTCAGCCCTGCCTCCCATGCGCTCATCTTTTCATTACTCTGCATTCCCCTTCCATGAACGCTAGTACCGCTTTGATGTACCGTTATCTGGCCAAGGCCACAGGTGGTGAAATGCAGGCGGCTTTGCTTAGTCTTTAATGAGCAGTAGTGTGGGAATAGAATAATTGTTTAGCATATTAGAACCGTTGCTTCACAGGGTTTGGGCGCGCGATGGGCATCCTGTGCGCGCGCGGGGGAACCATATCTATTGGCTAGTGTAATTATGAAACTGCTTTATCCTACCTTGCAACGCACATTGTGTTATTCTGAACAGAGAACCTGTTCTAAGTACTTCATGGCTTCAGTAAAGTAAAACCTTCCTGCAAGTGTGTACTTCATTGCCCGCTGTGGGGTCTGACACTCAGGCTCCACCATCCCCCAAATCTCCAGGAATTCCCTAACCTGGAGCTGGTAACCCTACTGACATCTGATCCAGATGCTGAGAAAATAGGGGCCACCCAGTGAACTTTGGTTGAGGTGAGATTTGAAAGGTAGTCTTTCTTTACGGTGGCCAAACTCCGGGCAGGGCCTGGAGCCCTCTTCGAATGTCATCTCTGGACTACAGAGATCAGTCCCCCTGGAGAAAATGGCTGCTTTGAAGGGCGGACTTTATGGCACTGTACCCCGCTGAGCCAGTTTGGCGTTGTGGTTAAGTGTGCGGACTTTAATCTGGGAGAACCGGGTTTATTAATACTACTAATACTAATACTAATAATAATAATAATAATCTTTCAATTTATTGATCGTTCAATCCTTGCAGAGCTGCCGGCTCTGAGCAATTTACAGTTACTCATGTGTAGACACGGGACTAACAATGATGGGGGTAAGGGAGGACAACATATATCATTTTTAAATCACACACACTTCGCAGTCGACAGGGAGTTTGGTCAGCTGTAAGCATCAGACGTGTTCCGGCAGCATTCTTAGTCGGCATAGCTTGATGTTGTCAGCATTTTGGGTTTGACTTCCCCACTCCTCCGCATGCAGCTGTTGGTGTGACCTTGGGTCAGTCACATGTTCTCTCAGATCTGTTCTCTCAGGAGCAGTCCTCGAAAGAACTCTCTCAGCCCCACCTGCCTCACAGGGTGTCTGTTGCAGGGAGGGGAAGGGAAAAGGAGACTGTAAGATGCTCTGAGACTCCGAAATCCAATCTCCTCCTCCCTCCTCCTCTAAACCACATCTCCCCAGGTTCTACCCCAAATCTCCAGGAATTTCCCAACCCAGTGGGGGCAACCCTAGCTGTCTTCTACACGTCACCACATTGGTCCTCAGTCTCCAAAGAGATGAAGAGAAGAGATTGGATTTATACCCCGCCCTTCACTACCCGAAGGAGTTTCAGAGCAGTTTACAATCCCTTTCCCACAACAGACACCCAGTGAGGTAGGTGGGGCTGAGAGAGCTCTTTCGAGGACTGCTCCTGAGAGAACTTGTGACTGACCCAAGCTCACTCCAGCAGCTGCATGTGAAGGAGTGGGGAATTAAACCCAGCTCTCCCAGATTGCAGACTGTGGAAGGTCGGTAGTTCAGCAGTTCGAGACCCGAGTGTGCCGCATGATGGAGTGAGCTCCCATCTCTAGTTCCAGCTCCTGCCAACCTAGCAGTTCAAAAGCAAGACATTGCAAGTAGATAAATAGGTACCCCTTCGGTGGGAAGGTAACAGCGTTCCGTGCGCCTTGGTGTTTAGTCATGCCGGCCACATGACCACGGAAACGTCTTCGGACAGCACTGGCTCTTCGGCTTTGAAACGGAGATGAGCACCGCAACCCTAGAGTCGGATTCGACTGGCTTTCGAGCAAGGGAACCTTTACCTACCAGATTAGAGTCCATGCTCCTAACCGCTACACTACGCCTAACCGCTGCTCCAAAAGAAGTATAAATGCTGTAAACAGAAGATGGACTCTGACCCTCAAGACGTCTCTCCCTCTTTCTGTCTCTCTCAGATACCAGCATCTTCACCCGACTGCTTGCCGGTTGTACCACGGGAGCCATGGCGGTGACGTGCGCCCAGCCCACCGATGTGGTCAAGGTGCGCTTCCAAGCGCACATCAGAGTAGTTGGTGGGCCCAAGAAATACAATGGGACCGTGGATGCCTACCGAACCATCGCTCGGGAAGAAGGAGTCAAAGGCCTGTGGAAAGGTACGTTGGGCCATCTGTTCCTCTAAAAGCGGGACCAGTTTCACGCTCCGGCTCCCTTTCTTCAGCACTTTGCCAGTCTCTGGAATCCACAGTGCTAAGGCTTTACTTCTTATTTTTTTTCTTTTTAATAGCTTTTTAAAATAATAATAATAATTATTATTATTATTATTATTGTTGTTGTTGTTATTATTGTTATTGTTATTGTTATTGTTATTATTAAAATAGAGGTACCAGAAAACAAGGGGAAAGGGGGATATAGATATTATAATGATCTATAACTGCGGTGGTTCAGAGGTTAAGACACTGAGCTGCAGACCGGAAGGTCTGTCGTTCGGCAGTTCGAGACCTGAGTGCCGTGTGACGGAGTGAGCTCCCGTCTCTGGCCCCATCTCCGGCCAACCTAGCCGTTCGAAAGCAAGAAACTGCAAGTAGGTAAATAGGTACTGCTTCTGTGGGAAGATAACAGCGTTCCGTGCGCCTCGGTGTTTAGTCATGCCAGCCACTTGACCACGGAAATGTCTTCGGACAGCACTGGCTCTTCGGTGTGGAAACGGAGATGAGCACTGCAACCCTAGAGTCGGATTCGACTGGCTTTCGAGCAAGGGAAACCTTTACCTTTACCTAACTTATTCATAACAAGGACAAACACCATTAAATATAGGCCATTTAACATAGACATTTAAAATACATAATATTAGAAAGATTTTTATATACTATATACATTTATTATTAAAGCCTAGCCTTTCTTACCATTAGTTACTATTAATATTAATAGTAATAGTCTATTAACTGTTAGGCAGGGATTATTATATTATATGTTCAATTACATCTTAATACCACTACAGTTGTCGTAATCAAACTATAACCAAAGAGTACATTTATAAGAGCATTTTTTAAAAATAAAAAGGATATCAATAAACTAGGTTCATATATACGTCAAAAACTATTTTTTGGTCTTGAATATAGCATTATTTCAGAAAACACTTGTATTTATATCATTGTAGTATTATCTATAACTTTAATTGTATTAGTGGAATTATATTATTGCCTAAGCTATCATTGGAGCTGCAGTGGCTCAAGTGGTTAAGACGCTGAACTGCAGGCTGTGGAAGGTCGGTAGTTCAGCAGTTCGAGACCCGGGTTGCCGCATGACAGGGTGAGCTCCCGTCTCTAGTTCCAGCTCCTGCCAACCGAGCAGTTCGAAAGCAAGAAATTGCAAGTAGATGAATAGGTACCACTTCGGTGGGAAGGTAGCAGCGTTCCGTGTGCCTTGGTGTTTAGTCATGCCGGCCACATGACCATGGAAACGTCTTCGGACAGCGCTGGCTCTTCGGCTTTGAAACGGAGATGAGCACCGCAACCCTAGAGTCGGATTCGACTGGCTTTCGAGCAAGGGAACCTTTACCTTTAAGCTATCATTAGAGTGATGGGAAAATAAAAAAAATAAAAAGCAACATAGTAACTTTAATACAAGTCACTCATTTTTCATCTTGACTAGTCAGACTTGACTGTGCGACTGAACAACAACAACAAAAATTAATAAGCACAATAATTCCCACTTTTTTTTCAAATTCTTTGACCGGAGAGCCAGTTTGGTGTAGTGGTTAAGTGCGTGGACTCTAATCTGGGAGAACTAGGTTTGATTCCCCACTCCTCCACTTGCAGCTGTTGGATGACCATGGGCAAGCCATAGTTCTGTCAGAGCTGTTCTCGAAAAAAGAGCAGTTTCTGTCAGAACTCTCTCAGCCCCACCTGCCTCACAGGGTGTCTGTTTTGGGGGAGGGGAAGGGGAAGACGTTTGTGAGCCTCTCTGAGACCCCTTTGGGTGGTGAAGGGCGGGGTATAAATCCAATCTCCTCCTCCTCTTCTTCTTTTTATATAGTTTGTTAACTTGGCCATAATCGCTTTGCTTCTTCCGTCGCCCCTTTTTAGGGACCCTTCCCAATATCACCCGTAACGCCATCGTAAACTGCGGGGAGCTGGTGACCTATGACCTCATCAAGGAAGCGCTGCTGAAATATCACCTCATGACTGGTGAGGAGACGCCCCGCTGGATCCCACACATCGGGGGAAAGTCGTGTTACTGATCGGGGGGGGGGGGGGCAGAGTTCTCCCGGAATTACCACTGACGCATAGCGTCATGTCCGGGCGACGGCGAGACCCTGACCTCATCCCATGCACAGCCTTCTCACAAAGGCCCATTTCCTCTGGGTCCCCTTCCCCCCCCCCCCAGCCAATGTTTCAGCTGAATATCTGGTCTCCTTTCTCTGCCCCCCTTAGATAATTTCCCATGCCATTTTGTCGCTGCCTTCGGAGCCGGTTTCTGCGCTACGGTGGTGGCGTCTCCAGTGGATGTTGTCAAGACAAGATACATGAACTCAAAACCCGGGCAGTATAAAAATGCCCTTAATTGCATGCTGACCATGGTGGTGAAGGAGGGCCCCACTGCGTTTTACAAAGGGTAAGCGATATTCCTCGGACGAAATGGCTGTCACAGAATGGCTGCCGCAGGAGGTGCAGCGCGATCGCCACAGCTTAACTTCAGTCACACAGTGAAGATCTCTGTGCTGCGGTGGCAGGTGCTGCCAAAGCAGTGTTTTAAAAAATCTGCACAGGCCAGGCCCGTAGCCATGGTGGGACTTTTGGGGTTCCGTCCCCTTTTTTTAAAGGCACAGCCCACAGAATTTCTCCTATAAATGCTTTTTCCAATAATCTTTAAACATTTTTTTAAAAGGCGTGCACTCCTTTAAGCAGAGTGGCGTGCTGTAGTCCCACACTGAGCAAGGGGGTTGGAGTGGGTGACCTCTAGGACCCCTTCTAACTCGTAGCCATGGTGGGACTTTTGGGGTTCCGTCCCCTTTCTTAAAGGCACAGCCCACAAGAATTTCTCCTATAAATGCTTTTTTTCAATAATATTTAAACATTTTTTTTAAAAAGCGTGCACTCCTTTAAGCAGAGTGGCGTGCTATAGTCCCGCACTGAGCAAGGGGGTTGGAGTAGGTGACCTCTAGGACCCCTTCTAACTCTGTCTCAAGAAACTGGTCTCTTTGAAGAGAGTTTTTCTGACTCAGTGTCAGCTTTCTTGACTATAGAAGTCGTCACCCCCCACCTGCCAGATTGTTCTCAGAATTATTGCTTAGGCTGGCAGAAGCTATTAACTTACAGCAGCTGAGAACTATCCTCTCAAGTGGTTGACAGCTTGCATTTGAGAGATCTATCCTGGGAACCGCTTTCGATTGGATAATTGGCTTTTCTTTCTGCACTGAGAACTTCAGCCCCACCAGAAAAAAATTTGCCCCACGAGCCACAAAATCCTCGCTGTGGGCCTGGCACTGCCAATCAAATCTCCAATGGCCAATCAGAATACTTGCTGGGCAAAAGCCCCACCTGGCTCTGCCTACTTTCTAAAAACCCTCGGAAGGTGCCAGTAAAGGTGTCAGCGGATGGCATAGTGCCAATGGGCACCACATTGGGGACCCCTACAGTATATTCATTACATTCACACTAGTTTGGTGTAGTGGTTAGGAGTGTGGACTCTAATCTGGGAGAACCGGGTTTGATTCCCCACTCCTCCTCATGCAGCTGCTGGTGTGGCCTTGGGTCAGTCACAAGTGCTGTCAGAGCTGTTCTCTCAGGAGCAGTCCTCGAGAGAGAGCTCTCTCAGCCCTGCCTGCCTCGCAGGGTGTCTGTTGTGGGGAGGGGAAGGGAGAGGAGTTTGTAAGCCGCTCTGAGACACCTTTGGGTAGTGAAGGGCAGGGTATAAATCCAATCCCTTCTTCTTCTTTTACCTCACGGGGTGTCTGTTCTGGGGAGGGGAAGGGAGAGGAGATTGTATGCCCGCTGAGGCACCTTCGGGTCGTGAAGGGGGAGGTATAAATCCAATCTCTTCTTCTTCTTCTAGTGGTTAAGTGCACGGACTCTAATCTGGGAGAGCCGGGTTTGATTCCCTACTCTTCCGCTTGCACCTGCTGGATGACCTTGGGCAAGCCGTAGTTCTGATAACAGCTGTCCTTGAAATGGCAGTTTCTGTCAGAGCTCTCTCAGCCCCACCTACCTCACAGGGTGTCTGTTGTGGGGAGGGGAAGGGATAGGAGATTGGAAGCCGCTCTAAGACTCCTTTGGGTAGTGAAGGGCGGGGTACAAACCCAATCTCCTCCTCCTCTTCTTCTTCGACAAAATGTGTGAATAGTAAAGGGGGCTTTGGGGGTGTTCGAGTGAATGTGGGTATAATTAGGGGTCTGGTACAAAGCCGGACAAAATAACACTCCACTTGTCGTGCTGTGGGGGAAAACTTCTTGTTTTTAGTGAATTCTGTTGAATGGATCTTTTACACACCATTCTGTAGACCAGTGTGATTTCGGATTGTTGTGATATGGGAAATAGTGAGGGTGGAGGGAACTCCCTGAGCATTCTGGGCCTCTGAGGAAACCTTCACCGGTTCCCTGTCCTCTTTCGTAGCTTCATGCCCTCATTCCTTCGCCTGGGCTCCTGGAACGTGGTGATGTTCGTCTCCTTTGAGCAGCTGAAAAGGTTGATGGTTCTGGCCCAGGTGGCGTGGGAGTCCCCGTTCTGAAACCACCAGCGGCCCTCTCTGAGCTGAGAAGGTGGAGGTGGATCGTGCCACGCACTCCCCAAGAGCAACACTGCCAGGAAAACACGAGACGTGGCTTCACATGGGAACTGTCCTCCGGCGTGAGCTTTCACAAGATGTTCTCGTCAAGGGTGGCAAGATGCAAACATTGGTTGTGACAATTGCTTTAATACCGGCTGCACCGCCCAGGAGGCCTAATACTTAAGCCAACAGAAGAAGACTTTCAAAAGGAACTGTGAGCCATGGCTTCCAAGGTAGTTTCACTCGGAAGGTTCTTCCTGGCGGATTTGGATGTGACACTGCAGACCAGTAAGTATCAGGAGACGTGTCCGAGGGTGACCTATAGCACCACTCTTATCCGGTTCTCTTGATGTATGGTGTCATTTCATGAGAATAGCAGAGTAGCCCTGCTGGATCAGACCAGGGAGGGTCCATCTAGTCCAGCCTCCTGTCTCACACAGTGGCCAACCAGTTCCTCTGGGGGGCCAACAACAGGGCAGAGAGGCCGAGGCCTTCCCCTGATGAGAACCTCAGAAGAGCCCTGCTGGATCAGACCAGTGAGGGTCCATCTAGTCCAGCCTCCTGTCTCACACAGTGGCCAACCAGTTCCTCTGGAGGGCCGACAACAGGGCAGAGAGGCCGAGGCTGTCCCCTGATAAGAACCTCAGAAGAGCCCTGCTGGATCAGACCAGTGAGGGTCCATCTAGTCCAGCCTCCTGTCTCATGCAGTGGCCAACCAGTTCCTCTGGAGGGCCAACCACAGGGCAGGGAGGCTGAGGCCTTCTCTTGATAAGGACATAAGAAGAGCCCTGCTAGATCAGACCACTAAGGTTTCATCTAGTCCAGCATCCCGTCTCACACAGTTGCCAACCAGTTCCTCTGGAGGGCCAGCAAGAGGACGGAGAGGCCGAGGCCTTCCCCTGATAAGAACGTCAGAAGAGCCCTGCTGGGTCAGACCAGGGAGGGTCCATCTAGTCCAGCCTCCTGTCTTACACAGTGGCCAGCCAGTTCCTCTGGAGGGCCAACAACAGGGCAGGAAGGACGAGGCCTTCCCCTAAAAAAATATAAGAAGAGCCCTGGTTGGATCAGACCAGTGGCCCATCTAGTCCAGCATCCTGTCTCACACAATGGCCAACAACAGGGCATAGGGGCTGAGGCCTTCTCCAGTTAAGAACCTAAGAAGAGCCCTGCAGGATTAGACCAGTGGTTCATCTAGTTCGGCATCCAGTCTCAAACAGCAGCCAATCAGTTCTTTTGGAGGTCCAACAACAGGGTCTAGAGGCCAAGGCCTTCCCCTGATAAGAACCTCTGAAGAGCCCTGCTGGGTCAGACCAGTGGTCCAGCATCCCGTCTCACACAGTTGCCAACCAGTTCCTCTGGAGGGCCAACAACAGGACATTAGAGGCCGAGGTCTTCCCCTCATAAGAACCTCAGGAGAGCCCTGCTGGGTCAGACCACTGAGGGTCCATCTAATCCAGCATCCTGTCTCACACAGAGGCCAGCCAGTTCCTCTGGAGGGCCAACAACAGGGCAGAGAGGCCGAGGCCTTCTCTTTACGTCGCCTCCTGGTTTCTGGGATTCAGAGGATTAGTGCCTCTGGATGTGGAGGTTCCCTTTAGTCACCCTGGCTAGTAGCCACTGTTAGGCCTCTCATGATCACAATAACACATGAAGCTGCCTTGTACTGAATCAGAGCCTTGGTCCATCAAAGACAGTAATGTCCACTCAGACTGGCAGAGGCTCTCCTGGGTTTCAGGCTGAGGTCTTTCAGGTTGCCTACTGACAGATCTTTTAACTGGAGATACCGGGGATTGAACCTGGGACCTTCTGCATGCCAAGCATCCCACAACCTCTCCTCCATGAGTCTATCTAATCTCCTTTTAAAGCTGTTCATTCCTGTGGGCCGTCACTATATCCTCTGGAAGCGAATTCCACATTTGAATCCCTCTCTGTGTAAAGTGGTATTTCCTTTTGTCCGTCCTGATCCTACTGCCCATCAGTTTCAGTGGAGACCCTCAAGACCCAGTATTTTGGGAGAGGGAGAAAAGGTTCCTTTTGTCAACTCTCTCCACCCCAAACGTAACTTTATAAACCTCTCTCAGGTCCTCCCGTATTCATCTCTTTTCTCCCTCTGTTCGGCCTCCCTCCAAAACCAGAGGTACACCGATCATTCTATTAATGGGTGCTTGTAAACGGAGGGGTGGAGGCTGCAAGCAGGAATGAGGACAGGAAGGGGGCAGCTACAGCCTACGGAGAGCAGGTTCTTGTCGAAAGGGGGCAGCGAGGATCTAAAAATACATGTCAGCAGGGGTCGTTTCCGGCAGGGGTGCACATGAGCAGAGCTCTGGCAGTAAAGAGCCCAGGGGGCGGGCACATGCAACAAGCCCCACCCCCTGCTCCCAGCAGCCCTCAGTCAGAGCAAGAAGCAGCCAGGTAAGTTGCAGAGCCCCCCCCC